GCGGGGAGTCTGCTTCTCCCTCTGACCCTCCCCCCTCTCATGCTCTCTGTCTCTCATTCTATCTCTCAAATAAATAAATAAAATCTTAAAAAAAAAAAAAAGAAAATACATTTAATATACCTACCCTACCAAACATCAAAGCTTAGCCTAGCCTACCTTAAAGGTGCTCAGAACACTTATATTAGGCTACAATTGGGCAAAGTTCTCTAGCACAAAGCCCATTTTATAGGGAAGTGTTGAATAGCTCATATAATTAATTGAATACCGTACTGAAAGCAAAAAGCAAAACGGTCCTATGTGACCGGAATGGTTGTAAGCATATCAGTTGTGCGCTCTCAACTAGAGTGCTGGAAGCTGCCTGGAAGCTGCGGGCTGGATGCCACTGCCCAGCAGCACGAGAGAGGATCCTACCATGTACGACTAACTGGAAAAAGATCAAATTTCAAAATCTGAAGTTCTGTTTCTACTGAATGCATATTGCTTTTGCCTGATCGTGAAGTCGAAAAATTAAATTGAACCATCGAAAGTTGGGGACCATCTGTATGTGATGATTCCAGTTACTCCACATCCTTGCCAACACTGAGCACGTATTGTCAGTTTTTTTAATTTTAGCCATTCTGGTGAGCGTGTAGTGATAACTCATTGGCTTTGATTTGCATTTCCCTAACGACATTTCCCTTATGATAGATGATGTAAACCTAGACGTTGAAGAAAACACGGGAGTAGCAGGAATATTATCTTCATGACTTTACAGAAGGCAGAAACTTCTTTGACAGGACCCAGAAAGCACTAACTTAAAAAATCTACATATCTATAGATATATTTTGTGTGTGTGTGTGTGTGTGTGTGTATATATATATATATATATATATATATATATATATATAAAGAGAGAGAGAGAGACATACAATGGACTTCATCAAAATTAAAACCTTAAGAAAATGAATAAACAAGCCAAGTCCTGGAATAAATACATACATACAAGACGTTACACCCAGACCATAGTAACAATTCTTTCAACTCAAAGTTTTTTTAAAAAAATCCAATGGGAAATTATGGGCAAAAGACTTGAACAGACACTTCACAAAGGAAGATCTGCAATGGTCAAAAAGGTACATGAGAAAATTCCTCACAGTACTTCATCTTTACCTTTTTTAGGAGCTGATCATTTTTTATTTTGTATTACAGTTTCTGTAAGTATAACTCCCAACCCAAACTGTAAACCACTTGAAAGCAAAATGAACATTTGAGGCATCTTTGTACCAGGGTATATATACATGGGGAGACAGGAAAGGCTCACAAATATTTTTAAATGGTTGACCCAATGAATTCACAATGTACACCATAAAACATTTTTAGCTGGTCATTAATATTGTAAGCAAATGAAGTAGTAGTATTAGAGCAGGACCAAGAGAGAAGAAGGAAAATAGAGAACAAGAGCAATAAACCTGAGAGAAAAAAAAAAAGTATTTCCCACAGACAGTTGAAATGACATTTTAAGTGTTAGTGTAAAATATAAGAGGAAATAGAGTTAGTAGAATAAAACGACAACGATAATGTGAAATAAAGCTTTCCAAAAATAAGACACCTACTTTTTTGCATGGGCAACCCATCTCTGTGTGAGTAATTTTGCATCTATGAAAGCCCAGGGGAAGCCATCAGACCAAAACAGGAAGCTGTGCATGTGCTCTCAGGCGGAAGTCACCAAGACATGGCATCCTGCTTGCCAGAAGACTCAGATTCCTTGTCAAAAAAAAAATAGACCCCAAAAATGCAGATGGTAGCAGTACTGCATCACAATAGTGTTTTCAGATTCGGGTGACATCTTGGAATTCCCAGCATACCATAATTTTAACTCCTATAGGGCATGTCCTTTCTGAAATAAAATTTGTTCACTGAGGCACATGTGAATAACTTGTGCAAAACTTGTTTATCCCCATGACTCATGAACCACTGTTCAATATTTACAGTAACTCTAAAAAGGAATTTTCTAGAACCAGAGGTTTACTCAGGCCATCTTCATAATTATTAAAAAAAAACAACAACAACAACAATGTACTCTCTGTTCCAGATGATATCCTCAAGAACTAGTTCTTTTCAGGAAAAAAAAAAAACCTGAAAAATTCCAGGGATCTTATTTCTGTCGCAAATTTCAAATTAATTTGTATAAATCATTCAATTCCCATGTAAAAGAAAGATTGGTTCTCTTCTCTTTCCTGATCAGAGCTTTGACACATGTGGAAGTTCTGACCAATAGAAGCAATTTTCATGACTTTTCCTTTTTGAGATTCTCAGAAGGAAAAAAAAAAAGCTTACTGAATAAATTAAATTACATTTCATGACTAGAGCAGTAAACAAGAGGATTAGAGAGACACTCTGGGTGGGGTTCATACAGGTCCTGGGAAAAGAAGGAAAAATGGGAATTTTTTAAAAAGAAAGAAAAAGAGAGAAGAGTTAAAAGATTTAGAAGACTCTAAAAAAATGACATTCCAGAATTGTACAATGTGTGTGTGTGTGTGTTTATGGAGGTGGAAGGAGGAGGTGTCTAAGAGTCAGAGAAAAGCAAACTTTAAGTGAAAGTTACAGTTTTGTCAGGAAAACCTTGGCGAATAAACGTATTTCTCTCTATTCAGGCAAAACATACCAAGATAATTAGTAGAACTCCTTAAAGAATATGACCTCACCCGAGATGCCATCTCAGAAATATTATTCTCCAATAATAGAACCATTTAACACACACACACACACACACACACACACACATTTTACATGTTAACACCAGACCCAAAGCCATAGTAATAGACATAAAGGAAGGACAGGATGGAAATTGCAAAATGGCAGAGTATTCTTAAACACGTTGGGTGGACATACTTAACACACTTCAATCTCTTGAAGTCTCACTTCTTTCTCAAGTTTTCTCAATGAAAAGCTAATAAGAAAAGAAAGTATTTGTGGCCAGGGTTGGGAGAAAACAAAAAAGTAAATGGTTCAAAGTTCTGGAATGACACCAAGGCACAGGCACATTCAGTCCAGGTGTTGCCTTCTTTGTCCTTTTCAACCTGTAAATAGACGGAGAACGCGGTGCTCGAGGCTCCTCTGCTCTCCTTGACCGCCCTCACTCAGGGCAACCTTGGCTTAGAGTTTCCGCAAATGTGATGTGTTCCTATAAAAGATACATGTATATAAGTTTTTAGATCTGTCATATTTTTAAATGCTCAAGGAGAGCCTATCATTTAAAGGATTCCCCCTCGTTCATACATGTCGAAGTTCCAATTTTGGCATTTGGGACTTCTATAAAATGTAGTGTATCAGAATAGTGTTCCATTTCAGAATCAGTGAATGGCTTTGCTACACCAGAATGTCAGGCTTCAGCATGTTATTTCTGTATTCTAATTCAAATCCTTTATGTGACTACCTATCCATTTCTAATTTGAATTTTGCTGGGTGGTTTAAAGCTGTTAAGTCCTTTCACATCTATTCTTTAAGATGCTTAGTTTAGCATCTTGCATTTTCCCGCCAGGGTTTTCTTGTGCATAATTCTTTGGCACGCCAGGTGGCAGGTTCTGAAACAGTTGTTGGGCGTTCTGTGGCCCCCAAACTCTCCCAAGGAATATGGGCAACTTGGGAACGTCCTGAAGGATTTGGTGCCTGGGGTAACATGTGCTGTTTGTTTAGTGAATTAGCACCTTCGAAAAAGATCGTAAAGAAGGTGTTCCTGATGGCATGGAGCACGGAAATAGGAAGCATAGTTGATCTGTTTCAGCTCTAGCTGGTGCTCTGTCAGCACTATACAAATGCTAGACCCCAGTTCAAAATTGATAACCTCAATGTTTTTAGCCCGTGTTCACCATGTTTGAAGATATGATTTAGAAGATGTCAGCTGGAATCCATGATCTTGGAGGAGCTTTTAATGAGAATGTGGTTTATTTGGTCATGGATGGTTCTACTGCCTGTCTTATTCTTTCGTGCTCCCTTGGCAGGAACGTGGAGCAAATTTTCCAGGGACTTCAGTTCTGATGTGGATTTTTTTTTAAATTCTGTGCATTAGCAATAAATCTATAATGACTATTTTAAGGTCTAAATATATGAAACACGAATGGTGAAAAGGCCACCTGCATTATGGTAGTACCAATAATAGCTCCCAGTTCTGCATGCTAACTAGGGCGCAGCCACACAGCTGAGTTATTTACATACATCTAATCTTTATAATAAGGCTGCAACTTAGGCACTCTTATTAATATTTTACAGATAAAGAAACTGAGCCTGTACATTACTGAAAATATGTCACCTTGACCCCAGAGCCTAAGTTTTTGACCATTACACTCTCCTGCCTCTCTCTGCAATGCATTTAAGTGTCCTTTGAAAAGCTGCAACACTCTGTAAATGTCAGGTGGTATTCTCATGGCTGTTGGAAAGGAGTCTAATTCCTGCACTCCCCTTATTGCCACAATCTAAAGGAAGAAATGCCTTAAAGTGGTTTGAAGGGTACAGCTATCCTTGTGAGTCATTTGAGTGTAGCTATCCCATGGGGATTCGGTGCAGAAATACTTCAGAACTAGTGTTTCAGATTTTCAAGAACTCAAGTTAGGGGCCAATGTCACCAGAAACTGCTGCCATCTAATTCTGAGTGTGGGGAAGAAAAAGCCTTGATGAAAAGCAAACAAAATAGCTACTTCAAGGCTGAAGAAGGCCTGCCTGGGATGTCTATATTTTTCTGCTGTGGTTGCAAAGAAAATGTTTGCATTCTGAGAGCACTTCAAAATGAGATCATGTATCTGCTCCTTGGAAGATCCCTCTATGTTAAGGTCTCCCAAGGAAGATATTGTTTCTGTGACACTACAAGGTAAAGACATCTGGTTCCATTATCCATCACGTTATTTAGAAGTGAGAAATGGAGTGAAGGCCAAAGGTCAGGACTCCCAAAGCAGAAAACTCAAACAATGTGTTCAGTACCTGGGTAACACCCCTCCGGCGTATGTAGATATGACATCTCAGAGTTTAAGGCCTATTGTTTTCTGACATATCTCTATGACAAAATATTATTTGTCAGTCCTCTCTGAAATAGAAGTACACATCACTACTGAGATATGAGACTGCTTTTGCTAACAAGTTGATCATTTGGGCAGCAATAAGCAATTGCAAGTTATCAATAATCCCTTTGGTAAGCAAACAGATTTCAGTGATTTCTCTCAAGTAAAATATTGCTTTCATGACATCAACCCTTTAGCTGAAAAGAGGAATTAATCCGTTGTTGAGGCAACTGAAGTGATCTTAATTATAGTTGTGAATTTGGTCTCATCCATAGATTAGGGAAACTATTTTGTTGATCTTAATGGATTCTTGAATTTACAAGAATTTCCTCTCTCTCTCTCCTCTTTCTTTCTCTCTTCCTCCCTCCCTTTTCTCTCTCAATTAGACAGGAATCTTCAGGCCTGAGCTGGTGTAGTAAATGTCTATTAAAGCATTCAAAAATTTACCCCTCTACAATCATTAGTAAGCACTGCTTTGGAGCAGGGACAACAACAAACAGCCTCTGTCACTTGAGAGGAAATGTCAATACATCCTTGTTGATAAGGGAAACTACCTGTGATCACACACATTCGGCAGGGGGAGGAGGGGTGCGGAGCAGATGTAGTGTGTTTGGGTAAGAAAGGTGAATAAGCCAACGTCATGACCATCCAAGCCAAGAGCAGCTTAAGAACTGGAATTGGAATATGAAACAGAGCTATGGTGCGTAAGTAAACCCATTTCTGTTTTCTAAATTCTTATTTAAAAATTCAATGGAGAAGCTGTCCATGGTTTCCCATTTCAGCATTTTAATTTTTCTCTGTCCTAAAGAAGTCTGATTTCTTACTGAATACTGAATACAATTCTAATGTGTTTTGTGTTATTACCAATTTATCTCATTTTGTTTTAAATTGCACTTTCCTTTGTTCTGGAGGGGAAACCTTGAAAATCTAAATCTCCCTAAGGATAACGTGGTGGAGAATCCATGGTAGGTTTTTTAACTTCTATCAGCCTATATTTATAGATACAGTTTGAAAGATCACAGGATTCTATGTAAATTGTTATTCCTGAGTTAATGAGAAAAGCACGCTGGTCAATTAATACATACTGTCAGCCTTTAGAACAATGTGGGAAAGCCCTTAAAAGATTTCTGACAGAAGTAGCTAAAACATTGTGTGTGTGTGTGTGTGTGTGTGTGTGTACACACATCCTTTAGGTTTGGGTTAGAAGCCAGAATGAGAGTTGAAAATTAAAACTAATAGGGAAAGTCTCAAAAATCTAAGTTTTATTTTCAGTTAGAATCTTAAAGAAGGGTTTGAGTGGTTCCTATTCTATCTAAAACGGTTTGTTCATAAATAATGAATGTTAGAAAGGCAGAATGCCTGAAGTCCCTTTACATCCAAAAGGAAATTTATGATCCCTTCAAAATTTTAAATCATTTCAGGCTGGGTAAAAAGAATACCTTTAGGTATTATTTTTGACCTAAGTTCTACTCTGGCAACTTGCTAGAATTATATTCCATATAAGACAGAGTTAATCAACCTCAGCACTATTGGTACTTTGGACCAGATAATTCTTTGTTATCAGGAGCTGTCCTGTGAATTATGAGACTTCTAGCAATATTCCTGGCCCCTACCCACTAGATTCTAGTAGCAACCCCACCATCAGTTGTGAGAATCAAAAATGTCTCTAGACATTACCGAATGTTTCTTGAGAAAGATGGTGAAAAAAATCACCTCAGCTGAGAACCCCCGATAAAAGAATTCCCATGTAGTGTGTGTGTGCACGCGCGCGCGTGTGTGTGTGTGTGTGTGTGTTTGGTGGTGGTGGTGGTGGGGTTCTTACTAAAGAAACTAACTGTAAAATAATTTCAACTTTAATTTGGTACCGCACTTTGAAAAAAATGGCCTCAACACCTGTCATCTCTCATAAGACGTGGAGAATATCTTCCTTCCCTTTGAATCTGGCTTTGTCTTGTAAAAAGCTTTGATAAAAAGAATGTGAATAAGTGACATTATGTGACATCTGAAGCTAGGCCTTGGGAGGTCTTACAGGTTCCAATTTGCTGTCTTGGAGTGCTGCACTGAGGCCACCATGTAAGGAAGCCAGTCTAGCTTCCTGGAAAAATCAAAGGGCACATGAAAGAAAGACAAGATGCTCCAACCAACAGCAAGCTCCAATGCCAGACATGAGTGAAGCCATCTTGGACTTTGCAGGCCAGCTGATCCTCCAGCTAACTCAGCCTCATGAGTGAACCTGGGTAAAAGCAGTGGAGGAAATAACCAGCCATCCTATAGAATCAAGAGAAATAGGAATTGTTCTTGTTTTAAGCCTCCAAGTTTTGGGATGGTTTCTTATGCAGCAAGGACTCACATGGTTCCCTGGATTGGACCTAATGTACGCTACTATCAAGAGACTCCTATATGAAATGTGGGGGATCAGATCCAGAGAGGCGAGTGACTTATAATGAGAGTCATGAAGACACGGTTCCCAGTGTCCTCAGAGACTTCATGCAGCTTCTCAAGAGTGTACATGTAGATTGGTTACTAACTTTTCAAAACTTCGCCCAATTCAGTTAGGAAAAAGCACATTTATGCAGTATCAACAATGTACAAAGTACAGAAGGGCACGGGGGGATAGGCTATAGCTCTCTACCTGTTTTAAAGTAAGTTAAGACAAAATCTTGGTTATTATTGTGAAAGGAAATAAAATATAATGCCTGGAACAATAAAACTATATGCATCAAACAGATAATGATTATGGAAGTTTTGTATTGATAACTTGTCAACTTGGTTATGCTGGAAGAATTTTCCCTAAACCTCCTTTCATCCTTTAATCCTTTCTAGATTAAAGTTGACCCAAAGAGAAATTCACATGACATTTTTGATAGGTGGAGGTGAAGCTCTGCCATTATGCTCTGAAGGTTTTCATGGTTAGATGCAGTGAGAAATAGATGGAGAGATGCCAGTGGATTCCACCATGTCCTTGCTTAACCCCTACCTTGTGTCCAGTTCTTCCAAACTGCTGGTCCTGCTGATCAACAGCTACCGCAGACCCACCGCCTGAAGTCGAGGCAACAGCTTGCATGTATTCTGGACCAGCTCTCCTTCATAATACAACTTCAGCATCTAGACATGCTTAGCTTCCAGATTTTCCTGTAAGCTATCACTTGTTCTTTTGTATAGTGTGTCAGAAGGGCTGGCTAGTGATTTTTATGTGATCCTTCAAGTCTTCCTTTTGGACTTCTCTTCATCTTCTCCCATATTTGTGTATGGTCTTCCAATAATAGACTTTTTCTATCATGATACTCATAGTAATTTTTACTTCCCAATGGGACCCTGGAAAATAGGGTAACACAGTTCAGAAAGAAGAAGTGGAGAGGATTCGATTTCACTCTGGCTATTCTATGGGATTGCACTTAATTTGGGGGATCCCGTATATGTTGGATTTCCTAGCACTGATGAGAGTGGAAAACATCTTACAACATCGTATCCATTCATTCTTCACCTGGTCATGGAAAAGCAGAGGATGGGAGAAAACATTAAAAAATCGCTCCTGCTCCTTAGTTGTTCCAGTTATAAATCCAGGACGACTCAAAAGGAGATTTTTACAACATGGCCAGGGGGATTAATACACTGTCTAATGCAATAAAGATCTCATGGGCAAAAACCATATTGAGGAATAGTAACTAGGGACATTTTTTAAATCAGAAGTAGAGGAAAAGTAACACTAGACATTTGGTGACACAAGAAAATGTTTATGGCATTCAAAGGGAGGTGTAGCTCAGAAATAATTTAAATAAGTTTAAGTGCCCATCATAAATACCAAAAAAAAAAAAAAAAGAAAAACTGCAGGCAAATGGAATCTTGAGAGGTATAAATCAATAAAGAATAAAAAATTTTCTGTAAGATAAATTGAAATGTACCAGGGAGAAATAAATGCTAATAGCCCCTTGGTTGATAAAATTGAGCTTTGGACTTCTGAAAGTATTGTATGTGCAAAAAAAAATTGTGATGTTTGTATTCCATAATGATTAGAAGGAATCCTGAAATCAAGAAAGACTACAATTCTGAACTCTAGATAATCTTGTAAAGCTCAGTGGATCAAGTCAAACATACGCTACTGGTTTTCACTTACTTTTGGTCCTAAAAGATTACCCCTGGGCCAAAGGGGATGCAATATCTACACCAATGGTTCACAAACTCTAGAGGGTATCAGAAATCACCTGGGGGCTTGCAGAAAATATTCCATGTGGGCCCATATTTAGAGATCCTGATTCAATAGACCCTGAGTGGAATTAGGAAATTTCTACTTTTTTAAAATATCCTGGACGATTCTGACCTAGATCATCTAAGATATACCTTGACAGACAGTTATCTGGACCCAAGAGAATAACTTCACAGGTTCTGTACTGAGTATACCAAATGAAAATCCCTAAATGTTATTTTCAAAGTATAAAAATACCCCATAATGTCCAACATGATGCTTTGTTGAAGAAAAGATACCAGTTGCTTTGTTCCCAAGGAAAATGCATGAAGTTCATTATTTGTGTGTGTGTGTGTGTGTGTGTGTGAAAGAGAGAGAGAGAGAGAGAGAAAGAGAGAGAGAGGACACCCTGTACTTGGTGATGTTCCTGATGAGGCTGGCAGCTTTACCTCAGATGTCAAGGCATGAGGGTCTCAAATTTGCTAACAGGCTCAGGAAGATGGCTTCAGACCAAAGCGGAATTTTTCCCCATCCTGTATTGCTAATTCCAAAGCAATGTATAAAATTGCTCATGTCATTTATTGATCAAGGAAAATCTGTATTTTTTCCTAATAAGGTATAATAAGGAAAATTAAGGAAAACTTTAGCTCACTATGAAGAGCTTACTTTTGGCAAAAAGGAAACATGTTCAAACATTCAGCTCTTCAACAATGGCAAGGGAGTACACATTTTGTATTTAAGGATTTTGCAATAATTCAGATGTGAAATGGGATATCAATCACCCAAACTTGGCATCTCAATTTTGCTTATATTTTTGTGAGTGGTAATGTCATTGCATTTTACAAGGACAAGTGTTTCAAATGTTCTTTCTTGCATCCTTGCTTTGTAGACTTTGTTCCCTCTGTCTAAAATGCCTTCCTCATGCCTTCTTCACTTAACTAAATCCTGCTTATCCCTGAGACTCAGCTCAGACTCCACTTCCTCCATGGGGTTTTCTTTGAAATCCCTCAATCCCTACCACTTTACTCCCTGAACTAGACATTTCTTCCTACCCCGTCCCAGAGTAGCTGGTGCTTCCCTCAATCAGTGCACTGTGACTCCGATGTCTGCAGCCCCTTTGCCTCCACCAATAACCTAGGAGTTCAACGAGATCAAAAGCCTCATCTTATTTGTTTCTATTTCTGGAGCTGAGCAAATAGTAGGGGTTAAAAAATAACAGCATAATAATGGATTTTTAAAATTGAAAAATATTAAATCTTAGTGAAGCATAACACTAGTGTTAGTTGTTCCTATACAAAAAAACCAGGAAGTCATTCATTGCAAGATGTGTAACCACATCAAGAAAAGCTAACATAATATATCAAACACCCACCACAGCAAACATGTACATCAACACATAACTAAAAGAGTAGTATGATCTGCTATGTTTAAGGGCTACAAAGTTACAGTATGGTTAGAATTTATTTTCCCCCTTACACTGAAACACACACACACACTCAAAGGCAATGAAGTTTTCTGGCACTTCTGTTTGCTCCGCATAGCACCTAGCACAGAACTGAGCAAACGCTGATGTTTCTATTTCCTTTGGTCTTATTAACAGGAACAATCTAGTTAGTACTATTCCTTGAGGTAAATGTACAGATTCTCCTACCCAAAAATAAGAACACAAAGAAGTATTTGATTTTCAAAGAAAAGACATAAGATATTTCTTTCCATTGAATTATGTATTTAAAATACAACTTCTTCGGGCGCCTGGGTGGCTCAGTTGGTTAAGCGACTGCCTTCAGCTCAGGTCATGATCCCGGAGTCCTGGGATCGAGTCCCACATCGGGCTCCCGGCTCAGCGGGGAGCCTGCTTCTCCCTCAGACCCTCTCCCCTCTCATGCTGTTTCTCTCTCTCTCTTTCTCTCAAATAAATAAATAAATAAAATCTTTAAAAAAAAAATACAACTTCTTCACTTAATTAGTATTGACTATTTGGGTAACATTTTACATTTACTTTTAACGTTCAAAACTTAAAAAAAAAAAAGTACAGGGAGGTCTGGGTGGCTCAGTCGTTAAGCGTCTGCCTTCGGCTCAGGTCATGATTCCAGGGTCCTGGGATTGAGTCCCTTCTTGGCAGGAAGCCTGCTTCTCCCTCTCCCACTCCCCCCTGCTTGTGTTCCTGCTCTCGCTATCTCTCTCTGTCAAATAAATAAATAAAATTTAAAAATCAAAAAAAGGACAAATTATTTACTTGTTTTGTAATTTTTCCCCCACTGCAGGCTGAGCTAGGCAAGGCCAAGCAAACTGTGATTAAGAAAATGCGTATTTGTTTTAATCAATTAAATTAAAAAGTTGGCACATGATGCTCATAGCTCCTTAAAATAATGACTAAATAAAGAAGAGATAGTTTAGTACTTAGGACAGTGAGACAATAATCAGAAAGTCATAAAAACAAACACCTTTAAATAGGCAAATCTATATAATGCATAGGGTTTATTCCAATATCCTTTAAAATTAATATCTCATGAAAGAGTGAGTGCAAATCACTGCACCTTATTCAGTGCAATCAGATAGAACCTGCTGTCTGACTATAAAGCTAAATGCAGAGGCATTTATATCCTCAACAAACAAATATTGTTCAGGTGGAAGATGAACACACGTGAAAAGGAAACCATGTTACATATTTCAAATGAAAAACTATTGAATTTTTTTTTAAAGATTTTATTTATTTATTTGAGAGAGAGAGAGAATAAGAGAGAGAGCACATGAGTGGGGGGAGGATCAGAGAGAGAAGCAGACTCCCTGCCAAGCAGGGAGCCCGATGCGGGACTCCAGGATCATGACCTGAGCCGAAGGCAGTCGCTTAACCAACTGAGCCACCCAGTTGCCCCAAACTATTGAATTTTTAAAAATTAAAAGACTTCAACTATTTTGAGCCCTATATCCACTCAAAATCCCTATGTCCCTTTATATCATTCATAGAAATCATGAACTTTTATGATTTCAAGCATAGTCCAGCTTGAGATGTGGGTGAAGATGCATTTATTTTATTTTATTTATTTTATTTTATTTATTTTATTTTATTTTCATTTTTTAAAGATTTTATTTACTTATTTGAGAGAGAGAGAAAGCACACGAGTGGGGGGAGGGGCAAAAGAAGAAGCAGACTCCCCGCTGAGCAGGACCCCCGGATCACGACCTGAGCCAAAGGCAGACGCTTAACCAACTGAGCCACCCAGGCATCTCTGAAGATGCTTTCAAACATTTCAGGGGTACAAAATGAGCTATTGGGACTTCATCAAGATAAAAAGCTTCTGCACAGCAAAGGAAACAGTCGACAAAACCAAAAGACAACCAACAGAATGGGAGAAGTTATTTGAAAATGTCTTATCAGATAAAGGGCTAGTATCCAAAATCTATAAAGAACTTATCAAACTCAACACCTAAAGAACAAATAATCCAATCAAGAAATGGGCAGAAGACATGAACAGACATTTCTCCAAAGAAGACATCCAAATGGCCAACAGACACATGAAAAAATGCTCCACATCACTTGGCATCAGGGAAATACAAATCAAAACCACAATGAGATACCAGTCAGAATGGCTAAAATTAAAGACTCAGGAAACAACGGATGTTGGCGAAGATGCAGAGAAAGGGGAACCCTCCTACGCTGTTGGTGGGAATGTAAGCTGGTACAGCCACTCTGGAAAATAGTATGGAGGTTCCTCAAAAAGTTGAAAATAGAGCTGCCCTACAACCCAGCAATTACACTATTGGGTATTTATCCCAAAGATACAAATGTAGTGATCTGAAGGGGCACCTGCACCCCAATGTTTATAGTAGCAATGTACACAATAAACAAACTATGGAAAGAGCCCAGATGTCCATCAATAGATGAATGGATAAAGAAAATGTGGTGTATATATAAAATGGAATATTATGCAGCCATCAAAAAATAACATCTTGCCATTTGCAACAATGTGGATGGAACTAGAGGGTATTATGTTAAGGAAAATAAGTTAATCAGAGAAAGACAATTATCATATGATTTCACTCATATGTGGAATTTAAGAAACAAAACAGAGGAGCATGGAGGAAGGGAGGGAAAAATAAAACAAGAGGAAATCACAGAGGGAGACAAACC